CATATTAGTCAGGAAACTGAGGTCTACAGATACAGTTACATAAAAGTGGCTATTTTTAAAATGTGCTTTGTTTTATTTGGTAGGTTTTATTTTATTTATTTTCTATTCACTATTCAGATATTTTCTCAAAGCATTAAGCTCCGGGGCTGGGGATGTGGCTCAAGTGGTAGCACGCTCTCCTAGCACACGTGAGGCACTGGGTTTGATTCTCAGCACCACGTAAAAATTTAAAAAAAGAAAATATTTGTGTCCACCTAAAATATATATATATATATATATATATATATATATATATATATATATATATATATATATAAAAGCATTAAGCTCCTTCCAAAGAAATGTTTTGTAACCTGAAGGACATAAATTTTCCTTTGTGTATTCATCTCTCCATAGAGTTACTGGCTCAAGATGATGAAAGCAGTGTTATCTAAAACTAACTTTCATGTTATGTCTGGATAATGAGCATAACTAAATACAAATATAACATAAAATTACATGTACAGAATGCAGAAGGAACCCAAGTTAAATTTGGTCTTCAATTTCAACATCAATGATTTCCTCTGAATTAGGAAATAATGTAGTCCAAATATTTTTTTTTTATAATATTGCTCTTTAAGGGTTTACACTGAGTCAAAAAAAATTATTGCACTTATGCTGTAAATTTGAAGTAAAAAGTATTTTGCATTTTTAAAAGTAAGTTTTTAACTTGCAAGAAATAATGAACAACAATATGATCTGAATTAAAATACAGTTAAGCGTTTTTCTCATGGGAAAACATTTTGAACACAGAGCATTAAAAAAAACAATAACTTTAAATGCTTGCACTTCCCTACTTTTTCTTACTTTGTTATCAGTGACACTGCTCATGGCGATGTAAGGAGAAAGGCAGCACACAATAAAAAATATGAATGGAGCACCATCCGGCAACCCAGTCCAGATGTACAGATGGTTCTGGAAGCAAAAACGTAATAGTAAATTTTTTCATGAAACATACACTATTAATAAAAGAATATGCTTTTTGAAATATTGAGAAGTCAAAATATAGTTCTAGTTTACAGTCATTCAAGGGGGGGGAGTGATTTCTTATTACTTGATGTGAGGCTTCAACTCTAAGAAAAAGACAAGTCAGAAATGATTTAGGTTTCTCTTTTGGGTATACATCCAAAAGAACACAAAGCAGGGTTTTTAAGAGGTACATGCACACTACGTTGATAGCACCATTACTTCAATAGTCAAGAGATGGAACCATCCCAAATGTC